ATCCATTCCCATAAAGAGGTTCCTGACTCAGGGCTGGAACATGCGGCACATCAAAACCAGATTAATAAACCACTCGTATAACACGAGAGGGGGAAAAACTAATGAGATTTATTTTTAATTAGTCCCTGAACTTTCATGCCTCCAGGTTTTCACGAGTGACGTTGCTTATTACATTTCTCTACAATGGTCATTCCTTGAGACAACAGCCCCATCCTGAAAAACCCACACCTGTGGGAGCCACCCGAGGGAACCCAGCCAGGAATCCCACGCATGAGGTGTCACCCATGGGGGGCCACACCTCCCCCAGCCTTTCAGAGACCTGTCAGCCTCTGCCTGCCTCCTGTACACACCAAACAGATATAGCGGACCCTCCAGAGTACCCCCAGCACCTGGCTTCCCAAGGTAGGGAGCAAGGAGGGGACATGGAGGGAAAGAACAGCATGTGCATATGGAGACCAATCCTGAAATGATTTGCCATCCTGTCAGGAGACTGGGGACATGCGCCCTGCCTGTTGCCTGTTACAACTACATGTTTGCTGATGCATCTCTGTGAAGGTTAATTCTTGTGTGTCAACGTGATTGGGCCCCAGGGTGCCCAGATATTTGGTTAAGTATTCTTCTGGGTGCACCTGTGAGGGTATTTCTGGATGAGATGAACATTTGAATGGGTGGGCTGAGTAAAGCAGGTGGCCCTCCCAATGTGGATGTGCCTTATCCGATCCATTGAAGGCATGAATAGAGCAAAAGGCTGGGCGGGGGGAGATGTGCTCATTCTGCCTAGCTGTCTTTCAGCTGGGACACTGGTCTCCTGCATTCGGGCTCAGATTCAGACTGGAACTTACACTATCAGCTCTCCTGGGTCACCAACTACAGATTTAGGATCTTAGGACTTCTCAGCTTCCATAATCTCTTGAGCCAATGTCTTATAAATCTCGTGTGGAGGGGGGGGGGTGTAGCATATCTCCTTCTTTTCTTTGTTTTTTCTTTTCTTTTCTTTCATTTTATAGAGATGAGGTCTCACTATGTGGCCCATGATGGTCTCGAACTCCTGGACTCAAACAATCCTCCCACCTCAGCCTCCCAAAGTTCTGGGATTACAGATATGAGCCACTGTGCCCTGCCATATATACATTTCATATTGGTTCTGTTTGTCTAGAGAACCCTGACTGATGCAATCTCCTTTCTGAGCCTATAATAACAGGCTTTGAATTCGAATCACAGACACTATACTGTAGAAGAAAAATTGCCGTGTCCAGTGATTGGACCCTAGTCCACGCAGGGTAATGTTTCCAAGAGGAGAGAATTTCAGCCCTCTCTGGGTCAAGCAGCCATCAACGTCTGCCCTGCCTGGAGCCAGAGCGAGGCAGCCTCAGGATCTGAGGGCGCTGAGAACTGACAAAATCCCGCAGAAGCCTCCCCTCGGTCCCCTGTGGACCTGGCTGGAGCTTAGGGTGCACCAGAAACATCTTCACGACCCATAGGCTCTTCTGGGCTCCCAGATGTTCAGAGCAACCTGATGCATCTAGTCAGCGCCCCTCCAATAAACAGGTATTAGGAGAAGAGAAACAGTAATTGAGTTAATGCGGTGGGGAGAAACGGAGAGAGGTTTTATCCATTGATGTTATGTGATCAAGACTTCTAATAAAGATAAAGTAGGACAGAAAAATATAGAGAAGGTGCCACCTCCTATCTCAACCAATTAAAGATATATTTATTACACGTTGGATTTTTAAATGTGCACATATGGGTCCATTGTTTAAAAACTTCAAAAAGATGGCATTTTGGAGTACATGTATTTTTGTTTCATAGACTGCTGTCCTCTGGCTGTGTCATTTAGAAATACAAAAACTGTATGGTATTTGGAGGAAGGAGAGAGACCAGGTCCAAAGAAGAAGGCAGTCAGGGCCTCTCACCAGCTTGGGTCCCACATGAAATCACTTATTATTAAATAAGTTGATTTTGATTTTTAATTAGTGTGTAATCTACACTTTTACATTGTCATAATAGATGTTTATTTGGGTGATTTATAACATCTAACACTTTCTGTTCTATTCAAATGCACAAGTGTAAGCATTTTCCAACTTCTTTGTTCTTAGATAAAAGGGAAATTGATCTTTATCTGGTTACCATTCTGCCTTTTACGCACGGCAATGCTGCTTCCGAGAGGTGGTGGAGGTGGTGTGATGTTTCCATGGCTTCTTTCATTTTCTCTCTGAGTCTAGGAAGTTTCCAGAATGCCTCTGTCCATGGCCCTATCTTGTCTCTCTCGATGTCGTCAAAGATTAGCTCAGAAATACTAGTCTTTCTCCAGCTTGGAAATGCAAAGAGCTGTAACCATTTGCTTTCTCCCAGATTCTCCAGAACTTCTGTCAGCTTTGGTCCTATGTTGCCTGGAAATATTCTGTAGAGTGTCTACTCTTACCCCTGGGGAAGCTGACTGGGGTTGGGGCAACAGGGTTAGCAAAGCCCATCGTTGAGAGGCGCTGCCTTTCTTTACTGACCCTCACTCCCAGCAAGGCCGACCTCACCCTTGGCCAGCCACAACCTGGCTGGGAAACATAGTCCAGGGTTCTGGGTCGACATGAAATACACAAGCCAAGACGTGCCTAGCCTGGTTTCCATATTCCTGCAAGCAGCTCAAGTGTGGGTACCCCATGGGTCACCTCCTGTATCCTGACAGTCTGCATGTCCCCACCCCATCCAACCACCACCACAACCCTGGCTCCAATCTAGGGAGGAAAATGGACATTGGCATCATCTGAGAAAACCAGATGTCTGAGCTGACTGCCTTCGCACCTGGTCACGTTCATGAATTGACGCAGGAATGCATGGCTCAGCAAGCACTTCTGAGTGCCGACACGGGCCAGGCTCTGTTCTGGGCTGGAGATCCAGTTGGACAAACAGACATAGTCTTTGCTCTCAAGGAGTTCACATTCTAGTGTGTGGAGAGAAACAATGAAATACAAATGCTTGGTGTGTCAGATGCCGTGAGCGCTATAGAGAGAAATGACACAGGGAAGGAAAGGGGTCTAGAAGGTCCTGGTGGGGTCCGGAGTGCACTGCCACGTGGGTGGACCTCCATGGAGAATGGGGCATCAGAGCCAGACCCTGAAGGGGAAGCAGCAAGCCATGCAGGTGTCTGGCAAAGAAGTTCAAAGGGCAAAGACCCTGAGATGGGAATGCAGGGCTCCCTCCCTGAACCTCCAGGGAGGAGTATCTTCCACTCTGTCCATGCCCAAGAAACCAGCGCTCTGAGTCTGACTGCCAGGCTGTGGTTCCATTGTTCCCTGAGGCAGGGGCAACTTTCCTTGCAGCCCTGGACCCCTCCGTGCCACCTTGCACGATGCAGGGAAGATAGGAGGAGTCATTCACTTACTCAAGCATTTGTTCTGTCGTTCAGCCTTTCAGATAAATTCATCTGCCCCTACTGGGTGTAAGGTGCCCTTGCAGACCCTGGGGTTATGAAATGATAGCAATTCAAAAGATGGACAGTACTGCCACCCTCGAAAATCTTAGACTCTGTTCGGTGGGAGACAAACGATTGACCCCAACGAGGTCATTTCCGAAACTCTTTAAGTTTATGAAGAAGATAAAGCAGGGGATTAGTGGGCTGTTTTAGGTGGGGTAGTCAGAGGCAGCCTCTATGAATAGATCCTGGTGAAGCTAAGTGCCCAGGGACCACTTGGAGGAAGATTCCAGGTGGAGGGAGCGTCGGGAACCACAGGTTCTGCAGCTGGAATGGGCATTCTGTGTTGGAGAAACAGGGAGAAGGCAGGTGGCATTTCAGAGTGATGCTGAGGATGAAGAAGGGGGCCAGATGGGGCCAGGGGCAAGGCATGGGCAGTTCTCATGAGGCCTTTTGGGAGAGTGGTGGGACTGGAAGGTCGTTCAAAAGACACCTCTTTGGCCCGAGATGACTCTAAGGGAGGCATGGCCCCAGATGAGCAGGGCCGGTGACGCAGCCCAAGGTTGCCTGTGCCATCTGTTCTCTGGCTTCCCTGGGTGTCAGGGAGATTTGTAGGGACCAGGTGAGGCTCCAGGTGAGGGGCTTCTCATCTCCCCTCTTGTGATGCCCACGCAGCCCCTGTACACTCAATATTCCTGCACAACCCGGAGCCTTATTGATTCCTTGGGAAATAAACCACAATTATTTTTGAAAATAGATGGCATATTTGTCTAGCCTCTGAAGCCGCTCATACTCCAATAGATAAAGTGTCAGGAAGAAAATCAAAGAAAATGGAGGTGTCCATATCTCCGATAGATTTTTTTTTTTGTATCGGCAATGTGCAAGCAACAAGCAGAAAAGCTAAAAAGGACAATGACGGAGGGGTGAAGAGAATTCCGTTTTGCCATCCAGTCCTCGGCCAGTATGATGCCAAAACATGATAAACGACCAGAGGGGTGCAGCGGCCACCAGCCCCCCTTTGCCTCAGAGCATCTCAATTTGTCCTTTGAGGAGACTCAGGGAAGAGTCACTTTTCTTCCACACCACGTGGAGTGATGGGGACTGACTTAGCCGCCCCATCCCAGGTCTGGGCAGGTAACGCAGGCTGGGCTAAAGCCTCTTCTACCTGGATGCCTGGGGAAGTGGCTTCATTCCCTTCCACACTCAGGAAGGTTGGAGCTGAGACCCCATCACTGACACCTGGAAGACTCCTGGTTCCTACTGGGATGTGGGGAGGGATTCCTTCAATATAGCAGAAGGAAACCACTGGCAAAATGCCCTAGAGGCTCAGACACAGCCCCGTTATCCCAGGCAGGGACCATCTGAGTCTATATTTAAGAGTCCCTGAGTCATTTGTGAGGTGGATGTTAGTTAAGTGACGAATCAGGAAACTAGGGCCACTTCTGACCCACACAGTGGTGGCTAGACAGGCCCAGAGAGAACCTTCCAAAGTTAGTGACCCACACAGCTGTGGACCTGGGCCAGGAAGGAGGCGGGACGGGGGCCGCCTCCTCCTCCTCTGAGCTGTGCCCCTGGATGCACTCAGACTTCTCACCTGTGTGTATCCTCAGGTGCACCTTAAGGTGATGGGATGTCCGGAAGGTTTTCCCACAGTACGGGCAGTCCTTCATGGCCGAGCCCAGGCTTCTGTCTCGAAGCAGCGCCGGTTGCTGGACGCCAGCAGATCTCCCAGCCTCCTCGCCAATGTCTGCAGCGAAGGAGAAACGTTCTCACATCACTTCAGCACATGTCAGGAGTTGTTCGCACCAAAACTGCTAACACCACACAAAGTTAAACATGTCAATACTACACCTGTCTATTTCATTCTTTAAATCTGACAGAATGCTGACAATTCACGTATTTTCTTGTTATTCTCTTAAATTATTTCATCTTTCCTATCATCGTTTTAAGCAGCATATGGTACCTTTATATTGAACTGAATTAAACAAGAAAAGAAACAGCTGTGTCAGCAGCTGGTTTGATTTCTTCTTTTGCTTAGTTCCTATTAAATATTTTTTTTCAAAAGTTTAAAAGTGTTGGTGTTTGTTGAATCTGATTAATTTATAATATGAACTCACTGCAGAGTTCACTATAGGACTGAAATCATATTTGCACTATAGCAAGCAACAAATTAAAAAAATCGTGTGTCAGCTGAGTCTCTAAGACATGCAGACAGACAGCTATTTTGGGACAGGAAAGAAAATTATCCAAAACTGATCATTTCTTCCTTGTAGAGCCTTGTATCCATCACTGGCTGGTGTAATCTCATGAAAGGGAGAAGAAAAAGTATGGAAATGCGATTCCACAATTAGCCTGTGATAAACATATAGTGACATATTCAAAGTCATATGCAGAGACTCAGCTGCAAAACTCCCATAAACTTACAGCACTGCAGACACATCTTTTTGCAGTGACTTGAGAACTTCCTCTGTCAAGTATCAATACAAATTCTCCTTCCTGCTCTTATTTGTTATGTAACCCAAACCATTAGAAAATGGAATAAAATTTACATGTGGCTGCCTTCTGCAAAGAAATCGTGGGACATAATAGTAAATAAAACTGGGAAAATGTCTCGTGGTTGGAGGATATGTTACTGCAACCCCCCAGGCCCGACGTCACACTGCCAAAGAGGTGACATCCAGGGACTCAAGGGGGAGAAGTGAGAGAAACTTCTCTGGGCTCACTTTTCTTCCCGAGTCATGGGTCTACCTGTAGAGCAGGAGTCTGAAGGCCTGGTACATAATCCAAGCTCATGAGGGTAGCAGGGTCCTCACCATAGCTTCCAGCCCACCTCTAGGCCTCACAGTAAATCCCACTTGGAGAACAAGGGAACCTTCTGGGATGATAAGATCTCCAAGTTCGGCAGAGATCATAATAAATAAGATCTGTGCTTTCCAAGCAATGGAAAATGCAAAGTGCTTTTATTGCTGAATGTCTGTTCCTGGTGTTCTCTGCTAACAGCCAAAAGGGGCAGACTTGTCGATTATGAGAAAGGTGAAGGCCAACACATTTGTTTTTGTTTTTAAGACACAGTCTTGCTCTGTCACCAGGCTGGAGTGCAATGGCACGATCTTAGCTTGTTGCAATCTCAGCCTCCTGGGTTCAAGCAATTCCCCTGCCTTAGCCTCCAGAGTAGCTGGGATGACAGGTATATACCACCATGCCCAACTAATTTTTTGTATTTTAGTAGAGATGGAGTTTCACCACGTTGGCCAGGATGATCTTGATCTCCTAACCTCGTGAACCACCCACCTCGGCCTCCCAAAGTGCTGGGATTACAGGTGTGAGCCACCGCGCCCAGTCTTTTTTTTTTTTTTTTTTTTTTTTTAGACAGGATCTCATTTTGTCACCCAAGCCAGAGTGCAGTGGCACAATCATAGCTGGTTGCAATCTCAAACTCCTGGGCAAACGCGATCCTCCTGCCTCAGCCTCCCAAGTAGCTGGGACTACAGGTGCAGTCCACCATGTCTCGATAATTTTTTATTTTTTTGTACAGACAGGGTCTTGCTTTGTTGCCCAGACTGGTCTTGAACTCCTGGCCGCAAGCAATCTTTCTGCCTCAGCCTCCAAAAATGCTAGGATTATAGGCATGAGCCACTACACCGGACCCAATACATTTAATTCTTATTTGAGTATCTGCACCAAGCAACTGTGTAAACTCTTGGCTTGGTGCATTCCCTCTACAACTGGACTGTGTACAACCATATAATCACCCCGGCAAAGTTATTCATATTTGACATCTCACTTTAATCCTATTTTCCCCAACTCTTCTAACCATCATTGGAGAGCTGCTCACAGGGTATAATTACCTAGCTGTCTTGTCTTATAATTTCACAGAAGCAAGAAGTTTAGGCTCATCCATATCTGAACTCAGAATCACTCCACCAGGTTCTAGATTGTGTTGTCCAAATGAATGTGGAAAGGCCCTCAAAGATGGCTTATTGATCAGGGCAAATGGGCACAAGAGAGTGTTGCAAAGTCACAATCAGACAAGTGACCTACATATGGTCACAGAGGCTCCATGTCCTGCACATTGAGTCTACCAGGAGCTGCTGCCAGAGGGAATGATGGGCAGATGTCATTTCCAGCCAACCACGCCCTAGCTTTCGACAGTGGGAAGACCATCTCCTTCTACCCCTCTCCCACCCCCACCCATCCCAAACCCAAGCACACTGCATTTGCCCTCCCGGCCTCCATCAGCTTTTCTTTTGCTGGGATCATGAAGGTCAGCTTCAAACAGTGATGAGCCTGATTAAAATTCTGCCCAAGTGCTCCTGGTAACATAGTCAAGATGCTCAATTTAAGTTAGGAGGCCAATCGCTGTTGGTTTGAATTATAAGCAGGACTTAGGTGTCCTGGATGTTGGCTTCAGGATGGAGGTAGGCAGGAGTAAGTTTCAGAAGTGTAATTCCTGGGCCAGGCACGGTGGCTCACATCTATAATCCCAGCACTTTGGGAGGCTGAGGCAGGTGGATCATTTGAGGTCAGGAGTTCAAGACCAGCCTGGCCAACATGGTAAAACCCTGTACCTACTAAAAATACAAGAATTAGCTGGGTGGTAGTGGTGCATGCCTGTAATCTCAGTCACTCTGGAGGCTGAAGCAGAATCGCTCGAGCCTGGGAGACAGACATTGTGGTGAGCTGAGATTAAGCCAAGGCATTCCAGCCTGGGCAACAGAGTGAGACTCTGTCTCAAAAAAATAAAATAAAAGGAATGTAATTCCTGCAGGGCCTCCTATGGCATGATCTGGACCTTCCCATAAAGGCTCTTCCACTGGAGCCCACCAGAGAGCAATAGCAAGGAGCCACTGTGGAATGAAGCTGCAGGAGAATGTTCTCATGGTCTCACTTATAAGGGGGAACAAAGCACTGGGTACCCACAGACACAGAGATGAGGACAGTAGACACTGGGGGCTGGGCGTGGTGGCTCACACCTATAATCCCAGCACTTTGGGAGGCAGAGGTGGGCAGATCACTTGAAGTCAGGAGTTCAAGACCAGCCTGGGCAACATGATGAAACTCCATCTTGACTAAAAATACAAACATTATTCAGGTGTGGTGGTGCACACCTGTAGTCCCAGCTACTCAGGAGGCTGAGGCAGGAGAATTGCTTGAACCTTGGGAGGTCGAGGCTGCAGTGAGCCAAGATCACTGGGCCATTGCACTCCAGCCTAGGCGTCACAGCAAAACCCTATCTCAAAAAACATATACGGACACTGGGGATTCCAAAAGCGGGGGAAGCAGGGAGGGGAGTAAGGTTGAAAAATTACCTATCAACCACTAGGCTCACTACTTGGACAGCAAGATCATTAGAAGCCCAGACCCCAGCATCTGTAATATACTCATATTACGCACCTGCACGTGTGCCCCCTGAATCTTAAAACAAAAATTACAAAAAAGAAGATGCTGCAGGAAGGATGAGGGAGGACATACTTCTCCCGGAGCTTTTGGGAAGGACTTGCCCAGAACACTGCTGATAAAAATAGCGGTACAGCCACCCTGCACGGTGGAACATTTTGCAGAATGTAAGGATGAGCACTGCCTCACTATACGTCACTCTAAGTGATGACCTGTATCTGTTTTCCTTTTATCTTTCTATCTTGGATATGTGTGGCCCAATAAAAAGAATAAATTTGTAAGATAAACAGCTTTCTTTGCAGATTTAAGAGTCTAATTTTCGCTTTACACAGAAAAGCGTTTTTTGGTTGTTGTTTTTTTTTTTTTGGAGGGCCAGAAGGCCTATGGCGTTTATGGTTAGACTAATTCTACTGGAAAAACACACTGAACTAGGATGAAGGGCGATTGTGGGTGGTCCCAGGAAGTGTCCAGAGAGGCTGAAAGCGAAGCGCAGTGAAGGGTGGGGGAGCGAGTGCTGGCGGGTCGCCCGCAGGGCGCTGCGCCTGAGTCCCAGTGGGACTGTGCCTGGACGGGTGCTGGTGAGGACCTATGTGCTAAACTTGGCCCAGTCGCAGCAAGAACCCAAGAGTGTCATTGAGAGGGAAAGGCGCGGCTGCTCTCAGATTCCTTCTCTACCCTGAGTTATAAAAGCACTGGCATGTGCCCCCCTGCAAACTGCAGGACGGAGTCCCATCACTTCGCTCGGCACCCCATACAGTCAGGTGGGGAAAGCAGTCATTGGTTTCTGTTGCAGACAGACCAGCCCTTCCAAGGCCACTCCAGGAGACAGGCAGTAGAAAGACAGAAGTATTGGCCAGGTGTGATGGCTCACACCTGTAGTCCCAGCACTTTGGGAGGCCGAGGCCAGGGGAACACCTTAGGTCAGGAGTTCGAGACCAGCCTGACGAACAGGGTAAAACCCCGTTTCTACTAAAAATACAAAAATGAGCCAGGAGTGATGGTTATGAGCTTCACAATAACGCCAGCTATCTTTGAGATTTATTTATTTTAATATTCTTTTCCTCTAATTTGTGCTATAGACTGAAGTTGGACACATGGACAGAGGTCAGCCTCAACTCCACCACCTGTTCCTTCCTGCTCAACTGTGAAAAGACAGACCCCTGCCAGCTCCTAGAGACTGAGGTATCCCTAGAGTGGGGACCCCTGGCTGCAGGCAGGGAAGCCCTCTGTTGCCTAACACACCCTCAGCCTGGGTATCCTCTGGGCTCTCACAGGATGGAGAAACAGCTCCTGTGACCTCTGTTTCTTTTTCTGACCCCACTGAACCATATGGGATTATTTTTTCAGAAG